CCTGCTTACTAAATACTTCAATAAATGAGAATCAGACTGAGTAGTCATACCTTAACTATGCCTTAACATTGTCTGCTCTGCTTCTCGTCCCCTCCTGTTTTCTTTTTGTCTTGCACCATTTTTAGCCCTCTTGAGATACGGAACGGGTGACCTCGTCCTGCACCATCCTTAAGGCCTCAAATATTCCAAAGGGATATAAGATTGCGATTTGTAGAAGCCCCTAACCTCACATGGATGTATTATCGACCATTAGTTGCACGTCACAACGCAACTTTCATGAAGCGCGCCAACTGTGATACGGACTAAAACCATTCTACATTCATATCTTATAAATTGTCAATCCAGTTGTGCAATTTACTACTGTGAAAATTGCATCAATTCTAAACATTTTATCTTACTTGTAAACTGGCATGCCTCATGTAACAAACTGTTATTTGAGAATAAATTATTATTATTATTAATTGACTCGATGATTCATTCATTTCATTATGTATATATGTCCATGATATTCATATTCATTACTCGCTCGCTTACTCTTGCTCTTGCCCTTGCTCTCGCCCTTGCTCTCTCTCGCTCGCTCGCTCGCTCGCTTGCCTGTTTGCCTTTCGGCACAACTAATTCATGCATGCTTAACGCATCTGTAATATTGGATATCTGTGTGTGGTCCCATAATAAACGTAATTAACACTTCGTATTCGCCTTCTGATTAATATACCGTTGGAGCGTTATTTAGTGACGATTACCGAGAAGAACTGTATACGGAGTTTAAGTAATATATCAAACACCGACCACCACAATGGTTTGTCCTAATGATTCAAATATTTTCGATGAAATTTCATATAAGTATGGGGATAATATTCTGAATGCATGGAATCATGATTTAAAATCTAACGCAGTTTTGTTGGCTGATGATTTTACTAATGATCCATTATTTTTCAATGATATCTTTGGTAAGCTAAATGAAAATATTCCAAATTATTCAAATTCTAATGTCATATCAAATGTTATTTGTCCTCAGAAGGCATCGGCTTCTTGTGGGAAACTTGTTCAATGCAAAGCATTAGTCATAAATGAACGCAATTTTGGTTTCGATTAGGATGGTTTCACATCAATTGTTGTCTATCCTCATCATGAGGTCACCCCTAATGAATCCTCTAGTCAATGTGACAAATGTGTTCTGAATGAGTAGAATTTCGGTCACATCTCTGATGTTTTTCTATCGGATTTTCTCACAATATATGCTGAGTAGAATCCCCAGTCGGTGGTATGATGAGTAAGAAGACAGAAAATTTTCCCGAAGCAGTCAGAGAACCCATTTGCACAGATATGGAGTTTGTACAGACAGAAAATTCCCAATTGATTGTTTTTCAAGTGAATCAAGCCTGAATGAGTCGCATGTGTTAATTACACATATCAATGTAAGATATCTAACAAATAGAGCAACTACTTTGCGTATTCTAACGTGAAAAGCAAAAGGAATATGTATCATATTTTTTATGCATGTCAAATTCACATGATGTAATGCCTCAAATTATATGTCAGTTTTATCTTCAAATACTCATAGATGATAAACAAAGTGTGAAATATCAGAAGTAATATAAATTGTGAGCATCATGACATTGCGACGTAAAGACCTCACAAGTATATCGAAGATGCTACAGGTATTCGGAATTTGACAACGCTTTAACCAGTAACACCCTCTAATATGAATCGCACTCACCAAGTGAAATCAAAAAACAGAAGCGAGGAGGTTCGAAGATATATTTGATAGGCTATCAATATATCGTGGATCGTCTGATCTATTCTGGCTAGCGATTGCAGGGGATGTGGAGCATGGCGTTCCCATTCGTGATCTGGTGCGGATGCATGACCGAGCGCCCTCAGCTAGGTGAATCCATTAAAATTAATGTGGTCAGCATCTAATGTTGAAGACTTACAGAGCTACTTATTTTGGTTATTTGTTTACCGCTACAATATAATATATTTGAAATATCCCAATGATTATATATAATGATGATATATGAAAGCATTATACGTCCCGTTGTACCATTTAAACTTGGATTAATTTTGATTTGGTTGTTTATTCTCTGAAGAAGTGGCTTTTAGTATGTCACAAAACGTCAGAAAATCCAATTTTTCTACTCATTGGGATATTACAATTATTTTATTTATTTATAACAATCTACCCAGCGCGCAATTTATTCGAAATTATCAAGTGGAACCTAGGTATTGATACCTATAAGTACCTTAAATTATTTCGTGGGCGTGGTTAGTGTTGGAAAGTCTATGATTCAAATTCGAGATGTCAGTGATCTCAGTACACAACTGACATGTTGACCATTTATAATTCTAGCAACCAGTTTAGTCTGTAGTGTCATTGGGCCCTAACCACACAGTCCTCAAAGCTGAACACGAGACAAATTGGAGAAAAGATTTTCAGTATTTAATGCAGAGAAAAACTCAACGATGGAGAAGGCAGGGAGAATAAATCGAATTGATCGGACGGCATGGCTGGGCCTTGCGGGCGTGGTTGACCTTAAGTGTTGCGACATAATCTTTTGTCTATATTAAATATATTGTTCTATCTCTAGCGTAAGTTTGTTCTCCATCACATATTGGTGATTGTTATGATTCGATGAGTTGGTGTAGAAAATGATGTGATTTTCACGTAAGATCTTATAGATTAGGCGGTTACATCCACAATTTTAGGATCAGGTTTATTATTAGAGCAGTACTAATATCATAGTAAACCATAGTTCTACAAGTCCATTCCATTTGTTAATTCTAATACTAATCAGTATATTCTAGATCATACCGAATCTGTATCCAATACACGGTTTGACAGATACATAATCAACCTAAAATGATGCTCAACTGATTACCGAGGCTTATTTTGCTATTTAAGCTGTGGCGGTTGTGGTATTTGTATGAGCTAATGATTCTTTTGTACCTGATGTGTGCCTGATTTGAATTCCCAGACACAATACGTTTGTTTGTGCTCACTTAGTTCTGTTTGGCCTTATTTGTACTATTCCTCGGATTCCTAATTCGTATAATAATTCAAATACGTCTGCCATCACAAGCTGCGAATATGCTAGGCTTTGGCCAGTTTTTTCTTATGTTTCTATTCCTTTTGCCGTAATGCGATGTCTTAAAAAGGAACCTCTTTCTTAAAAGGTAGACATTTAGGTCATTTCACCTTCAAATGTTGCAGAACTGCTCTCAAGTTGGCATTATACTGTGTCGGGCATGCTGCCATACACGATATTATCATCAACTTATATTAGGCACTCACATGAAACCAGGCCGTGTAAAACTGTCTACATTAAACACCGGGAGGTGGCTGGGGCATTGTTTATTCCCAAAGCCATCACTTGAAACTCGTAGAACCCATTTGGAAAAACAAACGCAATTTTCTCCCACGAGTTCGTACTTGCACCTGCCAATACCCGAGTGCAAGATCTAAAGTCGAATGCTAGCAAGTGATGACCAAGGTAAAACAATTTTTCTGGCATTCCTTTTATCATTGAATCCAGCTGTGTCTGGTGTCTCGTAAGGTGGTTGACACAGTGGCATCCAGTCACTTGTGTGAAGAGAGTGTTGTACAGCAATCGTCCGGTTTTCAGAGATATTCTCCGAGAATAAAGAGCTAAATTGTCGGAGTAAATAATCAGTTGAGAGACAGTCACTCTCCGTTATTTGTTCACTACTTTGAACTTGAGGTATAATTTTTTGACACCCCTATATGAGCCATAGATCTAATTGCCTTCTTAGAGTGGTATGTCTGCACAGTCACCAGATTTGTGTTCTCACCTTAGATATTCATATATCAACTTTGTGTTATAACAAAGTCAGTGCCGAGTACCACATCCCAAGTCAATGCAAAACAGACCAAAATTTCAAGTCGAAATGAATGTTTATTCACCAATACGTATATTCACACCATAGAGCGCACTTTCGACGGGGAACCACTCGCTGTTTGTAGTGCTGAGAAACACGTTGTTTGCGAGATGTTAAGATTTACTGTTTGTAAAAATTCCTCTTTACTAATGGATATTGGCACCCTGGTGTCCAGTGGGATAGTATTTTGGACTCTCAACAAACTACCCCTCATTGTAACAGGATAGACAGATTTGATATGGTATGAAAATGAACGATATAAGCTGGTCTAACCTTGATTAAAGAATCTGTTACGGTCATACTTCCGGGGTCTCCAGCCGAGCCGTAGACAATAGAAGCATTGAGTTTTCCGGCTATGATGACTGGTTCGGAAAGATCGTCTAACCGGAGAATATTTGATCGCTTAGACAGTTGGGGGGGGGCTATCCGACTGATGCGATCTCAAAGCTACTTCGATGGTCTCACGAATTAGCTAGTGGGACCCGAAGAAGATACTGTTGAAGTACACCTGGAAAAACCCTTCAACGGAACGCGAGCGCATCAACTCTCCTCGTCCACTTATGTTTATACGAGGAAATGCTTACGGAGCTATCTGCTGTAATGAATGAAAATTTTCGACCAGATCCTCGTTTGGCTGTTGGTATCATAATGGAATTGTGATAGAGAGAAAAAGATACTGAATCTTGCATGATAAACAAAATAACAATAATCATTTGCATAAATAGATCAATTTACAGCGTTGACTTCGCGAATGTGGAGGATTACATGGCACTGACCTCCACTCCGATGTTTGTAAAAGTGAACCAATCAGAAAGCAGACCGAGATCTGGAGCGAATTACAACTGGGTATCATTTGGCAGATTTTGCATATCCCACTCTTGTTTTGTTTCTAATTGTTGTTGATAGCTCCCATTAATTATTGTAATCAAAATCTATATGTTTGTTAACTCGATTAAGCATTTCTGTCGTTATCATCTAAAGCTCTCAACTAAATCTGAATCTATGATCACTTTGCTGTGCACTCCACCTGCATTCAAAGTACTTTCAGGTTAGACACGAGCCACCATCCACACATATAGATATGTAATTTTCAGGAGGAAATGTGGGTTTACAATGCAGTCTTCGTCATATTATTTGAAGGCCTATGGTTTGCAGAGTTCAAGAGCGTTGATTCACATTGTATGTTGGCTAGAGAAATCTTAAACAAATACATTCCGCGTCCTAATGAACCTAGTAACGCTTGAATTAAAGCCGCATTTTGTTATCTTTAGATCAACTGTTTAATTTGTGCAGAGAGAACGGCGGATCTGAGTCTCATGATTGCTGTAATGAAGAGTCGCTGAAAAACATTGTGTCTATTGGCGCATCTGAATTCACTAAATACTGGCGCACATTCTGGCTTAACATAAGTCAAAATTTAAGGGAAGATGCTCGTTATCTGCAAGGTTTGTTACATAACATTGACTAATGATCCAGATTATATGTTAGGGAGTTTGCAGCTAACATTGAAAGGTTTTCATGATCTCTTTGTAAACTCCTACGGGTATAACTATAATCAAAACAAGGATTTCGTTGATGCATTCTTCTATGAACTGGAAAGTTATATCCTGGGAAACCGGCAAGATATAGCGTCGTTGGTTGATGACTTTTTCGATGGCCTGCTAATTCGTGCACTCCATGTAATGCTGTTTGTAAAAACTGAACCGGATAGTATTGTAGCCAACTGCGTTGCATCCAAGTTGAGACCTTTGAAGCCATTTGATCAAGCGCCTGAAATAATAAGGTTTATGGCAACTCGAGCATTTCCTCCTCCCAGGATTCTTAGGAATAGTCTCCTTTTAGGAGATCATGTGGTTCAGTTTTTATCAAAGGTAAGCGACACCCGTCATTCTTGATCTGCTGTTCCAAACTTTTACACATAAATTGCAAGCTTTTCATCTAACTTACTGTGCCTGTACTAGTTTTTTATATTCTCTATAATTAAGGCTCAGTTTATATTAGTTCATTTCCGATCGCGTTTCGCGTCCAAAATTTACTCTTGCCTCGGCCGACCAAATGGCATTCTTAATCTAAACAAAGCCCATAGCCTTGTGCACTTATTTATACTTGACTGCGGTATAGCATTAGTAATTAATTAACAGTTGAAAACATGACCAAGTTATTTACAACAAGTGGTGTTCACTTCATTCTTAATATCTTTGTAATATTAGGTACACAATATTATTTTACTGTGCATTGAATTACAATATATACAAATTGCACATTATTAGTTAGGGATCATCTCAGGTATGCCAATCGAAACCAAGCGAGAACACCGCCCTACCTAATTCGGTTTCAGCGAACAGATAGCATCATTGGCTCGCCTAGCGTGAGTCATACTCAACTACTCGGTGGGGAAATTAAATGTTATTTGCTATGTAAGCTTGATATTTCCCTTCATCCAAATGTAAGACACTTTCATAAGATTGACGAAGCCTCTGTATTCGCCAACTCTTGGTGAATAAACAAAACACTCATGTATCTCGGTATTGACTTAAACCCTAATGAGCTAACTATAAACTGGATTAATCTTCGCATGATCGAAGCCAAAATAAGATGCAGTTTGGTACTGTTTCGATTCCGTAGCAACGTTTTTCTAATTGTAACGTGTGTTATCGATGTCTCATCAGAATGTCTGAATTGTTTGGGTATAATCTCCGAGTAAGTAAATTTAAGTTTGATTACAGCGCTCATTAAATAAGATAAAGCAGTTAACGAGGTTGAACACTCATTGATAAGGACACACAATTTTTTGTATGCTGCTGGTAGTCGTGGAATCGATAATATCGAACTACGAGATGGTTCGAAAATCCAATGACAGCTCGAATTTGGTTTCATCGGTATGATTTCATCTTTCTTTCCCTAGATTAAGATTTTTCAGGACGGCTTCACTTTTTGTCTCGACTTCGAAACTTTGGAACGTTAGATAAATGAGTAAAATACTTGTAAATTTTTTGCTTCCAGATAACAGTGAATGATAGTTGTATAAATGAATGGATTAAACTACGTTACTGTAATTTATGTTCAGGAGTAATCCAACCCCTCATCTGTCGACATAGTTGTTTTAGTCGTTTGTCCACATGTTTTTTGTTATGGACTGCTTTTGATAAATACTGGCTATCATTTATTGGTAGGTTGAATACTTCATAAGTTATTTACATAAAAGTATTATTTTTATGTTGTTTGGATGCCGACTTACAAAGTGCCTTCAGTATTGTCTTAGGATTTATTTATTTATTTATTTATTTTAACACATAGATATTGGTACAAGGAGGCACCAAATACATATGCGCCACACAAAATTTTGTGTGTGGGCTGTGATACTGCCCGGGTGCCCAAACTGAAGCAGGTGGTTTTCTTAGGGGGCCACACCTCGAGCCTTCGACCTGAAGATCTGATCCACAAGGCAGTGGAGCATCGCAAGGAGATGCAGTCCCATGGTAGCCGGTGACCAACAATTAGTTCACACGCCATTTGTTCCTTCAGGATACTGGAGCCCATGTGCACCATTGATTTGGGATCCGGTTAAAGCACCGGACATTCGCTTTTCGTCCTCTCATTTTCGTAAACAACACCCCCGCCACGTGAAGGCAGTGAGTAGGACTTCCCTGGCAGGGGCTGTATACGCGTGGCCATGTGAGAGCATTTCGAGAGGGAGGGTGGACTCTCCCCACTCTCGGCCATACCAAGGCATTTGTGGGCATTGTCTTAGGAGTTAGTTTTTGATGTTAATAATATCGTCTTAGTATTAGCTCAGATGTGGACAGTCTATGCATAGTAACGTTCTGAGCGGTTTGTTTCCGTCTAGGTAACTATGAGTTAAGGTAGTTTGTTCACAAGAGGTTGGATGTATGTGTTTAGATCTGAAGCTTTAATCTATATTTTTAAAGATCAACCAGGGAGTTGTGATTGAGCTAACGGATCTCAGTCCTGTACACCTATTTTTCATACCAGGGACCACTCCATCTACTGATCGCCTCCATCAAGTCTCAGAGTTGACAAAAAACTCCAGCACGTGAAAGTTGCTCGGATGACAATAACAAAACATGACCAGCGCCCAAATTAGGGCGTAGCCTTTACAAGTAAAACATATTCGTAGGTTACTAGTGTTTGATCATACATACCCTCGAACCATTACTCGCGTGTGTCAGAACTATCGAGGTAGCAGTGCTGAAGTTAGATAAGTGGTACCAGGGAAAGGTAGAAAATTGGTTGATGTAGCGAATCTCTATCGATTAAGGTGGTTGTGACAATACAGGACACTTATGGGCATAACTACTGTCCATCTCCATATGTGACGTTTGCTAGTGTTTTGGTAGGTTGAAAGAAAGCTTATTATTTATTTATTTGAACAGATAAATATTGGTACAAGTGGGCACCAGATATATATATATATATGCGCCACACATATATAAGCTTACTTACTCCCTTTACTCCTCGTGAAGGAGTATAGGCTGCCCACCAGCATCCGTCATCCAACTCTGTACCGGACAATTCTTTCCAGTTGCTATTTATCCTTCCCACGTCTGTTTGCAATTACCGACACTGTGTGTTCTTCGGCCTTCCTCTTTTCCACCTCATTTCGGGATTCTAAGTTAGGGCTTGCCTCGTGATGCAGTTTGGTGAGTTCTGTAAACTATGTCCTATCCACTTCCAACGTCTTTTCCTGATTTCCTCTTCAGCTGGAAGCTGGTTCGTTCTCTGCCAAAGTAGGATGTTACTGATGGTATCCGGCCAATGGATGTTGAGTATCTTGCGTAGACGACTATTTATAAATACTTGCACCTTTTTGATGATCGTTATAGTAGTTCTTCACGATTCAGCTCCGTAAAGTGATACTGTCTTGACGTTCATATTGAAGATTGTGACTTTGATATTGGTTGACAGTTGTTTCGAGTTCCATATGTTCTTCGATTGTAGGAATGCAATTCTTACTTTGGCAATCCGTGCATTCATATTTGCATCAGATCATGTTTGTTTATCATTAATACTTCCCAGGTACGTGAAAGTCTTCACCTCATCCAGAGCTTCTCCATCAAGTGTGACTGGGTTGGAGTTCTCCGTATTGTATTTGGGGATCTTGCTTTTTCTTTTGTGTAAGTTGAGGCCTACTGATGCGGAGGCTGCTGTCTCGACGTTCGTATTGAAGATTGTAACTTTGACGTTGGTTGACAGTTGTTTTGAGTTCCGTATGTTCTTGAACTGTAGGAATGCGACCCTTGTTAGAGTCGCCCAAATCAAAACGTATCATCCGTCTATGAAGTCATTAACTGCGTACCTGAGCCATGTTGGTGGACACAGACTACTTGATTGGGATCCATGTGATTATTGTAACCAATGGTTAGAGATGTTGGGTAGCAACTCAGAATTAGTGACATTGTTGCAGATGCACTCGTTTTTCATCATCCCTCAGATCCTAGGTCCATTCATTCTTAATTCTCGAATAATTTTCTCTGTGCATTGTTTTATACTACCACTGATACTGTTACTACGTTCACCACACACAATCCCTCTCTCTCTGTCTATATATATATATATATATATATATATATATATATATATATATATATATATATATATAAACATTATTCTGACGGGATTTTGTGCCAAGCTATACTAGTCCAGTATATTGACCATCTGTACCATTCCACTAAAGATGGTTGTAATTTCGAATGTTCGGGAGTGCTGCTTAAAGTTCTCAATGTAAGAGTGTAATAAACTGTTGTTTTAAATCTTCCAGTAATTCCGGATTACAGTTTTATAATTATTGAAGTTGGTTTTCACTGGAGGCTCATACATTTATATTAACTCGAGAAATTTGTTTTCCGCCGTATTATATTCAACTATTATAGTGGTACTATATTCTTTTGTAATGTAAATGGTTGATTTTATGTTGAATCATATTGGCTAACATTGACTTTAGAGTGTTTTGTCAACTTATGCTAATCGTCGTTTCATTCCTATTACATACTGCATATTAGCCATTGAAAGTATTCCAAAAAAACGTTTTTTCCACACCACCCTATTTTCAAGTTTAAAGTAAGTGAAATACACTTTGTTTTTCTAGATCAGGTTGTTCGTGTTGCTGAACGTCTAAAAGACTCCAAAATTTTCCCCCATGTTATTCGACCATTACAAATACATATATCTGACGCTATTATGAATCTTCAAACTATGCTCTTTCGACTGGACCAATCTGTAAGTTTACGTGTTATTCAGAGGAGTTTTGTTAGTAATTTTACGGTATGTTGAATATAGAGTGGTGATTTCATAATTTTAGCAACTGAATTTTGACCACTGGTCGTGGTTCACTTTCTTCGGCATTGTATACAGAGTTTTATCACTAGCCTTCAACACAGCATAGCTCAAATCTAAGTACTTGGATCACTAAACTTGATTTCTGAGGTACATCGTTGCGTCAAAAGTTTTTATACCTGTTCAAACTTTCTGTTTTAGAGCTATCAGGCTAATTCATAATTCCTGAGCCGCTTTTCCCTTATAGGATTTTTAATCAAACATTATCCCGAGGTTCTTGGTGAAAGTGTTTTCGTTCATCTTCTCATTCCTAACACGTTTACTGATTGATAATTCATCATCCTTTACGTTGTTGTACAGTGTTGTTTAGTTTATCTGAATCAGATTTTATCAACTTTACTCGTTGGGAAAAGCGTTTTGTATCATTTCTTCGAATAAGTTCTGAGGAACACGACAATTTTTTCATTGTTAATAAAGCAGATCATATATGGCAATTTTATTGATGCCTAAATAACAAACAGGCTTTATAAACTTGTCAGTATATCTACTTCTGTAGACCAATAATATATTGTTCTGTTAAATGTACCCATGATCAACTGTAAGTCGGTAAGTGAGCTCAAAAGTACGGATATTTCAGTTTTGTGATATGTTACAAAATAAGATGATACTTATTCAAAAACCTATAATGCCATTGTTACGTTCTTCCTACCAATACACATCACTTTAGTTTAAATGAATTGAAAACAAGATATTATAGACACTAAGTTATTCAAAGATGACAACCGTTAGTGGACGAGAAAGGTTTTAGAAATGTATCTAGACATTGATTAGATAAAATATAGCTAGTCAAGCTGTCCAAATATGTCCTTTGTCATCTGACAAGCGTAAACTTATAAAAACTAACTTATGAATCGATTAGTCCCACTAGACGAACATATGCCACTTTCTGTGTTAGTACACAATAAAGACGCTGATTATTCTTCGATCCAAACTTAAGTATTAGTTTATCATGTTATATTTAATATTCCTTTTTTAATTTTTGTTCTTAATGTATAAGGCTTACATTGTTGTGGTACAAAATTCTAGCCGAACCCTTTATTTGTTTGTGGAATAACTTATAATATACTCTGAGTCTTGAGTATCCGACTTCAAACACTACCCATCAAGGTATTTGTGGAACAAGGTTATTACGATAGATATGACTTTTAGCCTAGAACATGAATATGTACACAGTTGTGACGTATCATGTACGTATTTTTAAGTACTGTTTAATTTAATACACTTGTCAACATGTGCTCAGCTTTTATATACAATCTTAAGTGATAATCAAATTTCCTATACCCCTTATTCCAGTTATGGACAGTTCGTCACGGAAATTCAATATATTTTTATTTCTACATGGTCGCTAAATACTTTCTTATCCCTCCCTCCCACCTAGGCCAACACTATTCTTTGAAATCGGACTAATCAGGCGTTTACGTATATTGAACATATAATTGTATTTAGGTTAGACGCTTCATCAAGCAACCTTCATGTTTAATCCCTACTTGGTAAATATGATTCCTCCGGCGCGCCAAGCAGAAATTGCCATTTCAGAAATGAAAATCTTCATGCTCATCTGTTATCATCCTAAATAATCTAGTGAAAACATACACAGTTTTCAGTATAGAAAGTTACTGATAACACTAACTGCTACAGATAATTCAAGGGGCAAATTTTTCTCCAGTTCATTTTCATGATATCATAAGTGTTGCTTACTTGATGGTTCAAGTTTTTTGAAAGGACCAATAAACTAATTCTTACGGCCTTAAGCAGCGTGATTTTGTGAAAAAGCATTAAATATCATATATAATCATGTAATATCGTTTTCCAAAATCAAATACAATTGTTCGCTTGTTTACACACAAGTTGTATACCGTATCGTCTAAGTTGTAAGCTTTGTTTAACTTTGGATCAGTCAATCGTTTATGCATCTCTAATATACCGTTATTGATAAGTTAATTTGACGTGGTAATTCGCTTGTGGTATAATAGATTACATTAACTACTATCAGTTTACTAACTGATAGCTGTCAATCGTTTTTTAAATCCGGAATGCACAGAATATATAAATATTTTGAAAGCTAAGCATATTCTCAGCAGCCAGCTTGTTACATTTCAACAGCATCTAATCTCTTTGCACTTTTTGTTTGCCACCTAAATTCAAACAATACCTCTAATATATATATATATATATATATATATATATATATATATATATATATATATATATATATATATATATATATATATATATATATATATATATATATATATACATATATATAAGATTACTTATACTAATCAATAACGACAAAACGTATTTAATTTTTTGGGCTTGAAGTGTTTTAGTTTTTAAATTTATGTTATTTGTATAGGATGAATTTCTCAGTGACTGTTTATTACAAAACTCAAAAGAGTATCAGTCGTTTCCTTCCAGGACTAATTTTAGGCAACGACGACATCAGGAATTTGTATTTGTTGATCATGATGCCTTAGTTCAGAATTACAAACATCCTTATATTTATGGCAATTATGATATCCTGAAATCATGGGCGGACAGTATTCATAACAAGGTATGTACATCCATAAATACTTTCTGTATATATGCATGTGGAAATGTCTCACATTTTTATGGCTTAGACACGAGTTGGAAAAAGTGTTTACTCTATCGTCATCATGCGGTATTTATGACGATGGTTTGCTCCTGATTGCTAATAAAGTGATTTGCGATCCGTAGGCTAAATAGAATGAAATCTGATTATACTTTGTTTTGAATGCGACGCTTGGTAGTAACCAACATGTCCTACATCAAGTAAATATACTTGTTTGCAGTTATCATCATGGTATGTCTATAATCCTTCATATGATAGTATTTTCTGGCGGAGAAGGCAAGTGAGCCAAAACATTTTAATCAAGCGTGACTCAGTATTTATATTCAGACAAAAATAGGTTACAGACCGGTGATGAATAGGGTAAGCAATTAACATACATACGATCATGTAGAAACGGTCAGGATTAATAAGCGGATGACCAACGAGGTCAAAATGTGGCTTGAGAATAATGAACAGATTGGTCTGCCCAGAAGCTAAAATAACCTATGTGGGGTGGATATAGTACCAGCCACTGTAGGAGCTTTTTTATCCTTCCATATATCCCTACAATGTTTCAACGCTATACTCTTATGTACAAACAAACTTGTCGTGTGTAGACGTTATCCAAAAGGGCTAAGATTCAATCTAGGTTATATGTATTACAAAAAACTTAAGATATTTATACTAAACCCTTCTTTCACAAGAACAGATGCTCATACGATTTTACTGAAGTTGTGTACCAGACTTATCATCTACCGTTACAGATGGTCAGTCCCACTTTGTGTGATGAATGTATCAAGGTTCACTGTTGGTTTGCTTATGGAAAAAATTCTTTGAAACCTGTCATTCACGCTTTCCCTCAAATCCCTTTACTTTAGAATAAAAAAAACTAGCTAGTGAGAAACAAATTAAATATTGTATGTAAACCAAACCACAATAACTAATGCAACATATTAGAATAAGCACAATCTATTTCGTGTAAATGGATAGAGCTTAACAATTAAGCTTCATCGCATACTTGTGGACGTAATATACAGAACATTATGTAAAAACATTGCACTTAACCATTAGATACATGAGCATAGACTCAATCCGTCCATGCAAATAACACATTTCACTATCGAAGCAAGTAGTCTAAATTTGTTTTATCAGTTAAAATAGGCAATCACAATTCATTTCTTAATGTTATACCAACTTTATTATCTAGCGTGGCAGTAAAATAATAAAAAAAATTGACATTTTCTGTTACGATTCTCACAACATTCTCATCATTAGCTAGTTTGTCGATTTAATAATCTAAGGATACAATTGTCGCAAAAATAACCCTCGTTAACTTTGGGAATTAATGTTCCAGTTCTATGTTATAAATATAATCAATCCCAACTTAACATATATTTACATACTTCTACTAAATGAGTCAAACTTGGGTAATTGATAACGAAGATGCAACTTAGATAAACGTACACTTCTTTACTGAGTTTTAGCGTGTTATGTTACATTTAACATCGTAGTACAGTTTAATAAATTTCTTAAGATTTCTTGATGTTTATTTGTTTTGTTTTTTTTTGACAACTTTTTTCAGTATCTCTCTGTACGCAAACCATTTTCTACCATCATAAAATATTTTTGTAGTGAGGATCTTCTACGTGATTCAAAGAAAAATAGTGATTATTTATGTTGGACAGGTGATAGATTAACACATAGGTAAGACTTGAAAAGTTTCAATTTAGCTCACTCTTTTATTATTTGGTATTTTTCGTTATAAGCTCATCAGAATTTCTAGACAATCTTTTTTCGAGTTCTAATATAGCGACTGAACTGTAACACACTTTGCACTTTAAAATTTCTGAGTATTTTCGATGACAGCTGAAAATTCTCATCATAGAAAAGAAGCATCAATTTAAAATAAAGTGGTAGACACAAAGTTTCTACACTTTGTGATAGTCCAGTAAAAGAAAATTTGTAGAATTAAGTTGATATTAAGACAAACATCATATATAACTATAAGATATTGATTAATCAAGAATAATAAGATTCTCAGAGTCTAGAGGTAAACGAAGGGAAGCAAACATTTGAGTGAGCAACTGAACATAAATGATATTGTTTTGAAAAACGAATAGAATCCAGAGTAAAAAGATTGGCACAATATCAAAGTTTCAGAACTAGAGTGGACGGCTGTGCAATACACTTTCTGAGGAAAAATTAATATCCAACTATCTCTTACCCTTAGGATCCTGGGGTCCACCTACACCATTGGTTTGGAATGAGGGTTCTCAAACCCCCCTAGGTCGACTCTCCGTGCTCACCAATCCGGTTAGATCGCTGGACATTCGCTTTCCGTCCTCTCAATTTCGTGAAAAAATTTCTTTAGCCACGATAAGACAATGTGTAGGACTTCCCTTTTGGTAATTGTATGCACGTGGCCACTTGAGAGCGTTTGCAGAGGGAGAGTTATTTCTTCCCACTCTCGGCCGTATTGTCAAAGAAACTGCCCTTTAACAAAGATTGTTTGCTTATATTTAAATAACCACGACTTGAGTCATCGTTTGAAAATACCCAGTTATGTTAAATGGGTTTAGTTAGTTTGTTTTGTTATTTATTTCACATGAAGCAAACGGGAATATTGCGACAGTTACTATTGTTGTTGATAACAAATTTAAAAATATTCAAGAATTAGTGAATGTTTCGAACTTATAATGATTACTTCCAATAAGGATGTATAATTGTTTGTCAAGAATCGAATGCAATGTGAGTCACTTCTTTAATTTTTATCATACAATCGTAAACGAATGTTGGAGGTTAGAAAACAAATTAATTTTGGTCGTTGACTATCAACTCTTCATTTACTGTTATAGATGTATCAAGTAAATAATAATGTAATTAGATATCAATACTTTGGTTAGAAATTTATATATGACAATCCATGTGTTTGTGATGTCCACGAAATTTAGTGCCTGGAGTATGAGTGGATTTGAGGATGTACAAATGTACGGAAACTAATAAGTAATGCATGGTATGTCTTCGTTAATTAGCAGTCAAAGTCATTTGGAAAACTTTTGATGGAGCTTTGTTCTCTCAACTGGATGGTTTGGTCATGGGGCTTTCATCGTTCTTCTGAACGACATCATCAGCACAAACTTGAGGTAGAAGTTTGGGTTGATTAAGTGAATTTACTAATGTTTCAACCAATGTTATGACTTAATTCACTGATTACGTCACTTATTCAACCCATAAGAACTGATCAACATTAAGAACTAAATAATATAGCATTGATAAATACTTAACAATGGTTGAGTAGTGCATTTTTTTAATTGTCGACATTTTCTAAGATTTTATTGCAGCTGTAATTGTGTGAAGACTTATTCCTTTTTAAGTATGTATTCGTGAGCTTATTAGATTGCTAGTTATAACTAATGAAGTTTTATTATCAATTTTATTATTATTTTATTTCCGAATCTCGCGAGGCGGGGTGATGAATACACACTGCTGAGGAGTCCCACGATAGGACGAAACGGTCGTCCAGTGCTTCCAGGTTTTTCATAATGGTCTAGCTTCATTTGACTCATGATCTCAACTATTGGAATTACTATAATATCCACAAAAACCCCTTCTGATATTATCTTATTGTCAAAATCAAAAAGGATATGGGATTAGTAGATTGGACTTCATTTTGAATTTGTATCCGTCATGGTGATTATTGTATATGCATTTTAAAAAAAATCCTCATTTCACTTAAATCAGTTTAAATAACTAAGTTATTGTTAAATCTTAGTTTAATTACTTTTGGTTATTGTTATTTTTATTTATTGGTCTATTTGTTACTACCATTTTCTTAAGTGATGTATTATGCTGTAGTTAGCTCATTCACATGTATTTATAATTTACTTTACAGGTCAAATATAACCGTAAATCTGATCGAAAATGAGTCGTTTCTTAAGATAAATCCTATGGCTATCCGTGTTATTAAAGATTTACAACACATAACTGAAATTATGCAATCTGTAATTCAAAATAATTCTGATCCTAATTATGTGCCGATTGAAGGAGAAAGTAGAATTCAATCTCTAGATAACGTAACTGTTTTCATTCCATTGTCAAGTTATTCCACAACAAACCCAGTAAGCATAATGGTCTGTATATTTTTCATTACATTGCATTCAGTAGAGTTCTTTCTATACATGTTTTTTCTTAATAAGTTGTTTTACTGTCTGCTTAGTAAAATGTAATGGAAACACACACTTTTTGATAAGTAATAGTCACTTCCGAGAATTCCTTATTGATGTTCTGATCGATGATGAGGAGTGTATCGTCAGTAAATCTAATTTCTCCTAAACCTCGTAAACAACTCCATTTTCTAATTTGATTATGAGGCAACCAGCTAATATTCTGAACATTTATTTCGTCAATTTGTTTACAATATTGTTCAAGACTTATACATTAAATCGTTCCTACCGTTTACCCTCTCTGTTTTCCAACGGACTCCGAGTCTACAATACCGTTCTATGTTTTCATAATAAATTTGTAACATTCCTGTACTTTTTCTTAGCCTGATATTACTTGATAGACGATTTTGATCATTTTTTCACACCCTGTCTTTGGTTGTTTTTCATCAATTTTTATATCTCTTCTTTATTGCTTTCACATATGAACTGATTATTCACATATTTCTTACTACGCAATTTCTATCGGTTGTTATTTTACTGTTAATGTTCGCAATTTTCAATTTAAGTCCGATATTGAAACATTTATTCATCTATCTCTGCTCATAATTTATCCAAGCTGTTATTATTTTTATTATTACGAACGTCAAGACAGTTCTAATGTACGGAGCTGAAACTTGGAAAACTACTGCAGACATCATCAAAAAGGTATAAGTATTTTATAAAGAATTGTCCACGCAAGATACTCAATGTCCGTCGACCGGATACCATCAGCAACAGCATTCTGCGGGAGAGAACATATTGGGATGTAGTTGGATAGGAAATTTGGAAAAGACGTTGGAAGTGGATAGGACATACATTACGGAAATCACCAAACTGCATCACAAGGCAAGCGCTTACCTGGAATCGTGAAGGGAAACAGAAAAGAGAAAGGCCGAAGAATACACTGTGTCGGGAATTGGAAGCAGAGATGGAAAGGATGAATAGCAACTGGAAAGAATTGTCCGGTACAGAGTAGGATGGAGAATACTTGTGGGCGGCCTATGATCCTCCACGAGGGATAACGTAAGTAAGCTTTCTTTCAGCCTACTTAAACACTAACAAACCACATACATCTAGACGAACAGTGGTTATGCCGATAAGTGTCCTGTATTGTCCCAACCACCTTAATCGATAGAGATTCGCTACATCACCAACCAATTTTCTACCTTTCCCTGGTACCACTTATCTAACTTCAGCACTGCTGCGTCGATAGTTCTGACATACGCGAGTAATGCTCTGAGGGTATCCTTGGTCAGATGCCTGCAGCTTATGCATGTCCTTTTATTTTCTAGGACCATATTACGTAGCTATATCATAGTACATCTTACTATCAACATCTACTTTTTACGTGCTATGATTAGTTATTTAATTTATTTCATCATCTCCAACAGTTATGTTTAGTCTCATATTTTTGACGTATGCGTCGATATTTAACTACATATCATGGTGAAGCATAATAAAAATCTAATTGGAAGCAATGTTGTTCTAAACTACATTTCGAAAATCTTCAATATTTATGATGCTGACAACCAATATTTCAAAGAATTCGAATTAATTTATTAAACACTTACTGTATAGGAATAATGGCTTAGTGACATAAAGAGCTGATATTCAAACATAGGATCAAAGTAGGAAACACTTCCATGCTTAATTTAGCTCAAGCAATGAAATAGTGTACCTGTTCTTGCAACTGTATGACAGCATTATATGCTCGTTTTCTTGTTTCCTTTAATGCCATTTAGTTGACTCCTAATGATTTTTAAGAGAAAACAATATATTATAGTTCCTTAAATAACTTCGTATTCATTGACAGCTTTAATATTTATTGAACAAGGGAATTATGAGTAAAGTACGAAAGTTTTGGATCCATATATGTCATACATCTGTTAATGCAAACAGATAATAAGTGACACTAATTGGAGGTAAATGTTAAGTCGGCTTTCCGAGAACTGCAACAGAGCCTCCGGAGGCCCTGAAGGAGCCGAAGAGTCTTAGCCAATCAGAGCACGATGGAGCTTTCTAGAATGCCAACGTGGCGTGCTACTATTGGTCAGTAGCATAATATGTCTTTTAGCGGATTGGCCAAGATATGATGTGGATTTAACAAATGTTAACATCTATAAATACCCGTGTTTTTCTGTACAAAAACGAACCTTGAAGTAAAGTACTTTTCGTATACTTTGCGCCTTCTCTCTCGTGCTCAGGTCGCTGTATAGTTCTAGCTTGGGGGTCTTCAAGAATAGCTTAGGAATCGAGTATAGCGTTCAAAATCTCAAGACTTATCAGTAAACACTGTTTTCTCAAAATAGACAGTGACAGACAATGGGTATGATAATTAAGTGTATAGATATACAGACGTTCATAAGACGCACAAGTAGAGATTCGACTAGAACAATAACAAAATGGGTACACATATTGATGGTCAGAATTACTTTTGAAATGAATGAAGTTATTAGAATTGTAAAAATGATTTTAGTCAGATGTTATCTGACATATTAAAGTTGTTCCAAAATTCAGAATAGACTTAAACGTTATAACAGAGAAACTACTACAGGATGTTTAGTCGAAAATTAAACCGAAAGTTTACAATTCGGTTTTTGAATAAAACTATCGACAGTCTGATTTTTTCACCGTTACTACTGAAAGCATTCTATGGATGTTAAGTAAATAAAATCTTAATGTAATGTATTATTTCAACAATTTATTATTTATTTATTTTAACACATAAGTATAGGTACAGGGAGGCACCAAGTACATATGCGCCACACAAATCTCAATTGATTTGTGTGAGGGCTGTGATACTGCCCGGGTGCCCAAACCGAAGCAGGTGGTTTTCTTAGGGGGCCACACCCCGAGCCTTCGACCTGAAGATCTGATCCACAAGGCAGTGGAGCATCGTAAGGAGATGCAGTCCCATGGTAGCCGGTGACCAACGATTGGTTCATACGCCATTTGTTACTTCAGGATACTGGAGCCCATGTGCACCATTGATTTGGGATCCGGTTAAAGCACCGGACATTCGCTTTTCGTCCTCTCATTTTCGTAAACAACCCTGCCACGAGAAGGCAGTGAGTAGGACTTCCCTGGCAGAGGCTATATACGCATGGCCATGTGAGAGCATTTGGAGAGGGAGAGCGGACTCTCCCCACTCTCGGCCGTACCAGGGCATTTGGGGGCATTATTTCAACAAAGTATAAACACTTTATAGCTATTGTTTCTAACTATTATTGTTCATGATTTTTATCTTCAAGATGATTTCTTAATCATAAATTGAAAATTGTTCACTGTTTTCATTGCAATTTGTCTAAATAATTTGAAGGAAGCTAATGTACTAATACAATTTTTTTTTCAATTTTAGGGTTCAGTACAAACAACTTTAAATTATTTAGAATCTAGGAATAAAATTCATTTTACATCTTTATCGAATTCTATTAAAACACCATTTCAATTTAATACAAATCATATTGAAACATCACGTTATTCAATCAAAAAACAAATTAAAACTAATAAAGTAATATATTTTAATCCTCCTTATAATTTATGGTTACCATCGGCTACTTATCAACGAAAAATAATCTGGACATTTAATTCTAATAGTGATAATATAGTAAAGTTTAATCTATCTACTATAGTTTGGATTTATTTTACTTGTATATATATGTATTTACTTATTTACTAAATGATCAGTTGACAAGTATTGTGTATTGACCGTTTTCTTTATTGTTTAATATTTGATTTACTTTATCATCTATCCATTGTATAAAATAATCATTTATTAAAATGAAAAACAAAACAACAAATAAACATACTTCTCTTTCAGTTGAATAAAAAGTTCCGTTAATGTATTTTCTATACATCAGAAGTCATAGCGTACTGAAAGGAAAACACGAATGGGGACAATCGAATATATTTGAGTACAAAATTGCAGAACATCTCACTAAAATCTGAGAACCATACAATAAATACTTTGTTTACAAAATATCAATCGATTGGCTCATACTTGACTGTTTTTTTTGCAAATATCAGTTCATCATCTCAGATTTCATTGTTCCTGCATTTTCATACCAATTAATTTCTGTCCCCATTCTTTCCTCCACGATCTTCTACTGCCAGACATTCTATTCCTGACTATTGTTATATACTGCTATGTATGTGGATATAAGTAGCTCACACCACAATAGTATTTGATTAGATTCTGATAAATGGTTAGCGTTTTATTGTTCTGCAGGTATCCTTTCCAATGAATGTAAGGAAGTGAGTCCTAAAAGCATCTAAATTTAAAAGTATTCAAATGGCTCTGGACGGAATAGAAGACGTTTAGAGCTTAACAGACTTTCGTATTTAGTAGTAATGTATCACCGGTACCTCCAGTTAAGAACCTGGGTATATTGTCGATAAAAGAGAAAAACGTCCTTAATGTTCCACTTACTACGTGAGAACCTCGTTGTTTATGACATGATTGTCGATGAAATACAGGAATATGGAGATGGGAAGCTCGGGATAAATTATTAAGGAGTTGGGACGAAGAGATCGACAGAAGGCGTTTTTAGGGTCACGTGTAATTTAGTTTGCAGTTTTATTTGTTTTTTTTAATACGTTACAAAGTGTATTAATAAATTACTGTCTTTTCCATTCCATCTACGTTTTCTGTAATTTCAATAACACTTCAGCTGTTATTGTGTATAATGTTAAGTATTCATGATCTAGTATTATAGATGTATCTGTTCCGTTTTGTATTTTACCAATAACCAAATTGACATGGTTCTTATATATGTATGGTATTAAAATATGCACATAATGCGAATATGTACAAAGAATTTGTTAATGTCCCTCTAATATGTTTGAAACACAAATGAAATCGTGTGGAAAACGATCTCTGAAGTCACCAATAAGTTGATTCAGTTACCTAACGAAAGACTGCATGGCATAAAGTAAACAGTAATGAATTGGTGGACTTTTCATATTTAAAACGTTTGGATTATTACTAAATTAAATTAAAAAATTAGGATAGTAATTTCATCCAATCGCATACTTACTTAGGAGAAATCCATTGGTTTTATGTAAGCCTTTGGTTCAAATCAATAACGGATATCACTGCTGTTTGTTTATCTCGCCAAGAAATATTATTATTATTATAAGCTTCATTCAACATTATATTTGTGGTACACTATTGAATTCTCAGCACAAAGTATTTCAACAAGTTTCCTTTTCTTATACCTTGATCGATCCTGACGATAAATATTGAGTGACGGCCAGTTAGATGTTAGGAGTTCGATAATCGACATCTGAATAATGTTCATTCGTTTCAATGCATATTGCAAGTCACCATGATGTCGCTGGTTGTACCTTTTTGTAATCCGTACAGCGAAAGGTTGTAAACTTTTCGTAAACGCGCCTGGATAGGTTGTGAGCTCAATAGACATAATAGTGTGTTAAAACAAACAAGAAAACAGATAACTTGACGAAGTATCTAGATGGGAGGGACAGGTAGCCCAGATATTCGAGCAGGCCGCCTATGAGTCAGCCTCGTTTTCAGAACTGCCTAAGTGTGACCTCAGTTGTTCCAGGAACTTACTTTTGGTTTTCTCATTTTTCAATTCTAATGAGTTTTTTAGTGTGGTTTTCGTGCGTCCAGTGAGGCGCAAGCAGATCCCTCCCCGTATTAGAGCGTGACCCAATCCAAGCAGGTATTCCAGAATGAGCAACAATCTTCTACCGACTATCTCCAACAACGACTGATGGAAGAAAGTCGTAAACGACTGGTGCGTCACCTAGACAATTGATAAGCTTTTGCAGAAGCGGTCAATTCAAGACATTTTTGATTTCAGCCACACTACGTCTGATAACACCCATCCTCCAAGTAACGGAAGTGATGCCATCGTAACCATGCATTATATAGGACGAATCTTCTGTGATATTATGCTATCGCGACGGCTTAATTGTTGGAACTGTTTGAAAAAAGGACACAATAATTAGTTTTAGTTTTTGCGCACTATTTATGTCATGCCAATATGTATAAACAACATTGACGACCGAACTCTGAAGTATTTTTTCGCCAGATAAATTTGCACCTACGGATGTAAACGCAGTACATCAGACTCAGATGCTTATCTACAAGACATTGATGACGATAGTGATCATTCTCATGAAGTGCATGCATATTCTGACTCACCACCACAACCTACGTACGCTTCATTTCAAATAACTGAGACCTGACCTTGATAATCAGTCTCATTTCATTTTTTGGAAATAACAATATGCTTAGTTATTCAATTAAAGAATCGTACATCTAATCATGTTCTGTAAATCACTTTATAGTCTTATTTATTTCTGCTATTGATTATCTTTGCAGGAATATCGGAAAACTAAAATTTGGAATTCCGCACAAAGTGATAATGCTATGTTTGCTTAGTCTCCGGTAAAATCACCACATAAATGTATCTTCCGCACATGAACCTGGTTTATTTTCTGCAATAAAATGATTTGGTGGCCTATGTAAAAGGCAATCAAAGTTGGATGGTGGCTAGCATGGAATTGTCCTATGTAGGACTCGTTAACAGTGTGTGCCTGCATCTTAGAGTTGATTTTCACCCCGGGACTCGAACTCAGTACCTCTGAGTTGTCTCTTTCTTCAGTGAGCGTGATTTTGTTTATATTCGCCTTACGATCAACGATTGTACGAAATGTACGTATTCGAAAATTCATCCTCGTATTTGACTTAATTTAGTTTTTTAACAAGGCCATTTAGGTCGATGATCATATACGAGGACTGGCGACGTGTATATTTAAATAACAATCATTCATACAATCGGACTGGAGTCAGATCTCGAGCCACTCAAAATTAATGATTATTCTGTATCTGGTTAATTTTGAATTCTAATTACAATACGTTCGTTTGTGTTCACATAGTTCGATTTGGCTTAAATTGCACTCTTTCTGGAATTCATGGTTAGTACAACAGTCCAAATACTTTTAATTATCATATAATCAAGCTGATATTTATTAAGTTACACAAATCGATTGCGAAAAGAAAGTCGACAACGGAACTTTTGAACCGGGTTATAGTTTAACTACAACGGAGGTTTACTGGTAGTCTGCTCCACATGGTTGAGTGGTAAATAACAGGAATTATGACGTACGTTTTTGTAAGTTAACGGAATCGACAAAGTACTCTCTTTATTGAACAAGTTGCAAGATGATAAGATGGAGTACGAGGAGGTGGATGCCGAAGATTAAGAAATACCATTTATAAGCTGGTAGATGAGAACAAGGTTTTATTTAATGCTCCTGATTAAAAGAGGTTCTAACTTGAGATGTTGGAATCCTTGCTGGTGATCATTGTTGTCGTCCCGCTTATAAGCACTGCGTTCCTTCTGGTTCCTTACAACTGATTGAAGCCCGTCGGTCTACTCCGGGTGACCGTGAGTTTGACCACAGACGAAGGATGTTACGTACTGAAATCGGGCAAAGCTTGCGTAAGGACCGAGAAGCCTGGTGATCGGAGCGTGCTAATGAGCTGGTAGCAGCAGCTGTGTCTGGTAACTGCCGGAAGCTCTTCCAACTCATCCGAGACACTGGCAGCAAGAAGTCTGGTGTGGTCGGATCAATCTGCAAGGATGACGGAATGCCAATCACTAACATCCATCGACGTCTTTGACGACGGTCAGAATTCTTAGAAGAGCAGTTCAACTGGCCTTCTTCTTCGGCAACATCGGTTAGACTGTCCTGCCCTCCATGGCCGGTGACGACTGATCCACCAAATGAGGCGGAAGTCCGCAAGGAACTCCAACTCTTGAAACGCTAAAATTCACCGGCCCAGATGACTTGCCTCCGACTCTTTTTAAAGATGGTGGTGACTTTCTGACTAAGGGACTGACGACGTTGTTTACAAAGGTTTGAGAGCTAGAGAGTGTACCAACGTCATGGAATGAGTCGATAGTTGTCCCTATCTTTAAAAAGGGTTCACGTTGTTCCTGTAACAACTATCGGGGGATAAGTCTACTTCCGATTGCGTCCAAGCTATTGGCATCCGTTATACTTCGTAGGTTATTCAAAACCCGAGAAGAATTGACTCGCGAGGAGCAGGCTGGGTTTCGTTCCGGTCGAGGATGTATTGATCATATCTTCACCCTCCGCCAAATGTTAGAACACCGCCATACTTATCAAAGGCCAACAATCGTATTGTTTCTTGATATCAAGGCTGCCTTCGATTCGTTGGATAGGACTGTTCTCTGGGATTGTCTATTGAAGAAGGGTGTGCCTGAGAAGTTTATTAACATCCTAAAAGCCCTATACTCAAACACCTCAGGCAGAGTGAGGGCATACAACCACCTTTCTCCATTATTCCAATCGAGCAGTGGGGTTAGGCAGGGTTGCCCAATCTCACCATTCCTCTTCAACTTTGCCATCGATGACATTCTGGAAACAGCTCTGGTGGATGTAAGTAATGGTGGTGTGGATCTGTTGCTTGGAGAAAGAATTCTCGACCTTGAATATGCTGATGATATTGTCTTACTATGCGATAATGCCCAAGCTATGCAATCCGCACTTAATCAGTTGGCAATCAGTGTCCGTAGGTATGGTATATGCTTTACACCTTCGAAGTGCATAGTACTCCTACAAGACTGGCAAGATTCTAATCCTGTACTCACTCTGGATGGTGAGCAGATAGAAGTAGTC